AGGGGGGGGGGGGGGTGCGAGGAGGGGCGAAGAACGAGAGAGGACGGTGGGGGGACTGAGTACAAGAACATTTACATGGCAGAACGCAGCGAGTGTGGCTATCAAAAAAGGAGGCTGGTGCCTTCTATTACTTTTTAATTTGCTGGACACAAGGCTTGGGAGAGGCGACACCCCAGCGAATCCGCGCAAAACTAAAGGGACTACTATGCACTACGCAGCGCGGCATACCTGGGTGAGGTACAGCGTCTTGAAACTCTTGACCTTCTTGAGGTAGTCCCTCGCGCCCCGAAAGCCGTAGATTGCGTGCCTCCCGAAAAAACAGACAGCACAAGCCCCGTGAGCATGGGAAACGACAAAACAAGGGGGGCAGTCGCGGCGTGAAACATAAACACCACACCGCCACCCTGCCGTTTTCTGATTTAAACACCGCGAAGAATATGCGCACAAACAAAGGACTCTGCGAGGCAAACATCCATCAGACGCACCAAAACGCCGTGTGTGAGTGGGTTCGCCCCCATGTATTCTGGCGCCGGTCTTTGCAACGTTCCGTGTACGTCTCTGACGTGTCCAGCCGAGGGCACACGACACAAACGTCCGTGGGGCGGGTGATTTTCTTGCCGCCGTCAGGCGTCAAGCACACAAATTGTCATCACCTGATGCGGGTCCCCAACGACAATGACGCGGCACTTGGTCTGCTTCTCGACGATGTCCGCCTGACAAGGGTTGATGTCCTGCGCCTCGTCGATCATGATCATGTCGTACCTGCCGCTCAAGTCCGGCTCAGAGAGCTGGTACGCCTTCATGCAGCTGCTGAAGGTCCGAGGGATCCGGGACCCCCGGGTCGAGCTACTCGCGGCGGCGGGGGAGGGGTGCATCTCCCCCCAGACCTTTTTCGCGGTGGCCAGCACCCACCCTTTCGACGGCCGCTCGACCCGCCTAGTGCGGCTCTGGCTCTGGGAAGGTGAATGGGACAGCAGCGGTGGCATCTTCAAGTGTTCGGAGGTAATGTCGGGGTCGCTGGAGGCGCAGAAGGCGTCGATCGAGTTGAGCACGACCTTGGCGTGCGAGTAACGCGTCTTTCTCACGCCACACCCAACAACGGCACGGGCGAGAGAGAAAGAGAGACAGAGAGACGCACACACAGACGACGACAAAGCGAGAGACAGTCAGTCAGACAGAGAATGACAGACAAGACGCAGATTGTAGGGTGTGAGAAAGACAGACACAGAGACACAGATACACGCAAAAAGACAGACATAAACAGAGAGAGAGAGAGAGAGAGAGAGAGAGAGAGAGAGAGAGAGAGAGAGAGAGAGAGAGAGAGAGAGAGAGAGAGTGGCAGAGCGAGAGAGAGCGGAGATAGACAAGCAGGCCTTATCGACAGACAAACGGATTAACAACGTAGCGTTGTCTATTCTACCGGCGGCGCGCGGCATGAACACACAATGGTTCAACAACTCGACAGGCCAAGCAAACGCGGCATTAACTACTGGAAGCACCCCCTTGCCCATGTTTTTCGCTCTCATAATCCCGTTTGGCTAAGGATCTATTTAGGATATAGAGCAGTCATAGTAAAAAATACATATTTGAAGTATTCAATATCGTGAAGACTCTAGTATCGGCCGATCGGCGGCCGCATACTGTCGCGTGCTCGGAGCACGACGAAAGCAGCCATCGACCCTCGCTTCCCCCGCCGGGGCCTAAGGATCCAATTCAACCTTGCAAGAGGGCTACGCAATACAAGCGGGGTTGTCGGCATTCGTACGGCCGTTGACTACGGAGACAGACAGACTGACAGTCCTGGTTCAGCCGTAGTTGCAGCGAAAATGGGGGTGGGGGGGGACAGCAACCCTGCAGGTATGGCCATTTTCGCCTCGAGCGCGGTGCAGAACAAGTGGGACGGGAAGGACTCAGCTCACATTGCCTCCCACGAAGGCCTGTATTGCTTTGGTCACTTTGGCCGTGCTCCCCTCTACCCTTCCGAACGTCCCACCCGTCAACGACACCGAGCTCATCGTTTTGCAATCGGTGTTGCTCGAGAAGATTGAGCTGGCGGCAGCGGCCACGGAACGGTTGAACTGAAAAACAACGAAAAAAGGGGGAAGGGGGGTCAACAGATGGCAGCAGGGAGGGTGGGTGGGAAGGGAGCATGACCAAGAACATGTCAGAAAATTTTGCACCTTTCCTGGTGCTCATTGCTCGATCGAGTCCCCGAGCATTCAGGAGGCGTTTTCTGTCGGGCAGGTGCCAGGTTTGGCCGGGGATCTGTGACGAGAAAAATAAAACACACACACACACGACCAACTTCCACCACGGTCAATCGGTTGGGATCTCTGTGACAACGATAGTAATGAGGGTAGTTCTTTTAGGAGTGACGGAGACGGAGGAAAGGGAAAGGGAAGAAAGGAGGACCAAGACGACGATGAAGGAGGAAAACATGGAGGAGTGGAAGAGAGCAAAGGGTTTGAGCCAGATGACCTTCCCCAAAACAAGAAACGTAGGGCTAGGGGAGAGCTGCCCAGAGATTCTTGTCAATCAGAAGGATGGTAGCGAAAGCAAGGAGGATAATGTCGAAAATACTCCTAAACGAACTATTATAGAGTACAAGGTAATAGCCTTGGTAGACGCGTCCAGTTTTCTTCTGTTGCTGCTGTTTCTGTCTTTGATCCGAAGGATAGTTTAGCTTCCCCCATGCTGCCCCCTCACGGGGTCCCAGTTCATGGCAGATAGAAATGTTTTGTGTTTTCAACCGCACTAAGACTGACGTATTTTCATTGGTCAGCCGGTTAGCGCGGTCGATGCTAATAATAAAAACACACACACACGACACACTCACAAGGTACCCGTAGGATACATAGCCACACCAGGGTCGTGTGCACGGCAGAGAGGTAAACACGCTTTTATCTCCTGCACGCTCCTCAAACGTGAAACGCCAACTGGCCGCCTGACCGGTGTCATCGATGCCAAATCCATGACGAGTTTCGTGCGTCGCTCCCGCTGCTGTACAGAAAGATGATGCAACCGAGAGGATGAACGACCACAGCGCAAACCTCTCACAACCAGGAACAACAAATACTCCTACGCCACGCATTCCCTTTCACTGCTGTTTGGGCTCCTACGCCACAACAGACTTGTCCTCCTACATCAAACCTTAGACGCCGATGTGCTTGCACCACAACAGAACGCCTCCTATTGCTGTTGACAGTGCACAAAGGCCGCGTAGTGCCAAGGGGTTTGGCCGGCCGGCCAACCGGCTCCTTCTCTTCAGGGCATGGGACAACTTGGAATAATAGTAACCTGGCACCCGAAAAACGCGAAAGTACTAGACTGGACTTGGCACCGGTCGTATCTGTGCAGCGCCACACTACGCTTTCGAGCGTGCATACAAGGTGCACTCACCGCGGCATAGAGGATCTTGAGCGTAGGGTTTCTCTGGGCGACGGCCCTAAGAGTGAAGGTCTTCCCCGTGCCGGCGTAGGCCACGATCGTCAGGGTCTGGCCGACGTCCACCTCGGTGTCGACCACCTCTCGCTGCTCTGAAGTCAGCATAGACTCGTCCACCCACCGCGGGTCTGGGCAGAAGGTTCTTTGAGAGGACAAGTTGGAGGACTGGCTCAACCATGTGGATGGATCGTTGTCCTCGGCTGTCGTGTCTTGCGCAGAAGTAAACCTGCAAAGACGAATAGTTCCCAACCAGGGTGCCATTGATGGTACAGGTTCAACAAACGCCAAAGATGCGGACGCCCAGAACCTGTTGAGTTAGATGTTGTACGCGCGGTTGCCGCGTAGGAAAACCATTGGTTCAGACCCTAAATAACCGTTTGGGAGACACGCCGCATGCAACCATGCGTGCAGCCGGCAACGCCAGGCCTCCAGCCAAACAACAACAGCAGAAAAGGCCCTGATAGGTGCAACCAGTCTCTCCCACCTCACGCAGTAGCCCTCCAGCGCAAAAATGCACAACAACAGGTCGTGCCGCAGCCTGTACGAGCCCTTCCCATCCCAAGCTTCGGCGGTGGACACGCTCGACGCCGATTGGAAACCCGCCCCCGCCGCCCCCCCTTGCGGCGCCGCCCTCGCGGCGGGTGGCCGGACGGCTACGTGCATCCTGCAGAGCAGCTCGATCATCGGGGCGCGGGGCAGACCGTTCGTCCCGAACACCGACTGCAGGGCGCAGCGGCAGAGGAACGACCTGTCTTCGGAGGCAGCGAAGGTCACCGCCGCCGCCAACACCAGCCACCCATCCCACCGGTGGTGATGTTCCGCTGAAGAAGGTCGGGAGCCTGGGGACGCGCTGGGGTGGACTCCCGCCGTCCGCCCAGTCTCCTCGGTCGCGGCAGCGTCGGCACCGCCGTCAGCGCCGCAAGAGATCCCGCGCTCCTCGCAAAACGCTCGGATCCCGGACAGGAAGCCACGCAGCCGACGCCACCGTATCCTCGCCGCCCCCTCGCTGCCGTCATCTTCCATCTCGCCGTCGCCTACCGCGGCCCGTCGAAACGCCAGGTCCTCCTCTTCGAGGCTCTCCCTCTCCAGCCACCCCAGTCCTGCCTCCAGGAGGGTCATGATTTCTGACCCCGAGGACTCGTCAAACCGGTTTTCCCGTAACCAGTTTACCGAGGGCAAAAGGCCCCGGTCCTCCGCAGGGCACGAAGCTCCTCCTCCCGCTGCTCCTCTTCCTCCGGTGACACCTCGTGCCGGCGCGGTCCCCGTCAGGGTGCCCTCGAGGACCCTCCGCCGGTAGGAATTAGGGTGCGACACCGAGTCGACAGCGTCCCTCCACGTCTTGCTCACGCCTCGTGCCGCACAGAAGGTTTCCTTCCACGGAAGCTTTCTGACCACCTGCTTCGGCCGACGTTTGAGAGGCTTGGTTGTGGGGGATACTCAAAACAGAACCAACAGAATCCTGGGGGGGGGGGGGGGGGGGATCATCTTTTTCTTTTGTT